TAAAGAAAATCAAAATCAAAATCAAACCTTACTGTTATTTCGAAAGAAAAAACGGCGGGGCAGATTACAATATTAACTGGTGTGTTAATATTTGTTCAATACTTCTGCAAAGCAAAAAAAGTAACCGGCAAGCGCCCGTCGACCGAATGTTAGCTTGGGTTCAGTCTGTGGACCGTTAAGCTAGCCCGGCTACTGATATTCGAGATGTGCTCTGAACAAGCGGCAAACTGTGGGGTAGAGCCGGGAAGCCAATACGGAAGTGCCACACACTGCAGTTCATATATTGGCCGATAGGCGATGGCTGCAGAAGGGAGCAATTTCCATAGACCCCCATGTTAAAATGCCCAACTTTACAGCAGAAAAAAACATGTTTCTACCCCTGGCTCCATACATTTTATTATCGATATAGTTAGATTCCACCTTCATGATTATGGATCTGTGAGTGAATTGTTTTCTAACGCGACCCTTTTATTTATATTAGGTCTTAAGGTTTGTGCATAAATTAGGTTGTGGTCACATTGAGTGACGGCTCTGTCAAGTGCCTGCCGCTGTTAGCTTCTTGTCTCTCTGCTACCTGCTCCGTGAAGCTAGCTACAGGGACTCTGCCTGCTCAGCTCATCCAGGAAACACAACTTGTAGCCGGCCGTGGTTGTTTGTTCTTCATGCTTATATATCGGACTATTGTGACTCGCTCTGCGGTTAAAACAGACGGTGCATGAATGCGGTTTTGCGGTAAGTGAAATTCTAGTGCTTTATTTATGTGTTAATGAGTTTAATCAGCTACGTAATGAATGGTAAGGCTTGGGTTAGCATGTAAGCTAGTGGTAGCTACATCGGTGCTAACGATTGTAATCGTAGCCTCCAAGTTAAAATCATAGACTGTATATATAAAGGTTACAACGAAATAGACAAGTGTTAAGTGGGATAATACTGTTGAACAAACGGCTTCTGTTTGAGGTTGATAAAATAAGGTTACATCCTTGTAACTTAGAGATATTTTATTATGTAGGTAGAACTGTATGCATCTAAGGTTAATTTAAATTCGCTATGTATGTAGACAAGCTAATGTCGAAGTAGTGTATGTGAAATCAACCTCACAATAAGATGTGTGTATATCACAATTATTAATGTCATATTTCAAGATGATTACTTAGATATTACAATATGGTTGGTTGAGCTGGAGTTCATTATTGAGCTTACACGTTAACGTCACAGTCATCTGAAGAACGAACCCAAACCTTGTTGTTTTTATTAATTGTATTACCAAATGGGTATCAAATAAACAGTAAGCATTGGTAACACAACTTCCAAAGTTACAGTAAAATAAAAAGGCCCCTGACTCGGACAATACACAATCCAACATGTTCAACAGAAGAGAATCAGTTATATTGTTTGTACACATGGTACTTTACATATATATATATATATCTGTTTGTTTAAGGTGTCCAGGTGATGCAGACAGGCTGGACCAGAGAGTGAGAGACAGAACTGGACTCCTCACAGCAGTGAACTTCAGCACAGGTACAAAGACTCTTTTTTCATACTGTACAAAGAATCAAGAAAGATATTGGTTTAAATGAATGAAATATTGACTTGAATACACTGATATACATTCCATTAAACAATACTAGATCACCTACACATCAGTTAAGTTGAGGGTTTTTTCCATGCAAAAAGTTACATTTAGATGATAACAAGCAATATGACTTTGTCAGCTTTCTAATTTAATGTATTGAAGGCAAAGATATTTAACACATAGTGAGAACTGCTACTATTTATCTCTCAATATTGTCTGTAAAAAACGTGGCAAAAGTTATTCTTTCAGTGAGACAACAGAGCAAGCTTCTCCAGCTGCACTACGTTTTGATAACAGTTAAATATTATTTTGATAACATATATTTCAATGTTGATGAACTTCATACTGTCATTCATAATCTGATTGTCTTTGTAGCTCATTGTTGAAATAAAAAAAAAAACATTACAATTACAAAATAATTATATCTACAGCCCCTAAACACACAAACACACCGCTTTCATAAATAACACACTTGTTCTGCAATAATATGTTTTATGTTTCCTGTCATTTTTGTTAGGAAAGGACATGCCTGAAAGACAGGATATTTTCTCCTTCTCTGAGGGTCAAGAAGAACATCCAAGAGGAACATTAAAAGCTGATGTTATGAGATTTTAAGACCAGTACAGGACATTCACTAAGAAACTACTTTTATTGTGAAAACACAGTCAGCTGATCGAATGCAGCTATTTCCACATCTACACTCCATCAGCTGATTATTTCTATTTGCCTCACTTTATGAGCTTCACAACATGTACCTTGTTTTGCAACGTCACAAATAAATGGGGCCAATCTTCAGTCAGATGTGAATGTGTAATCTAACATTTTCAGTAAGAATAATGGACAAAAGGAGAGCAAATACAAATACAATTTATTGAAATGTGAACCAAAAGTTAATCAAATGTTTTAAATAAAAAGCACATATGGACAGAAGGTGTAAATGTATTAAACACATTTAGTCAAATAAAGTGACCGACTAGGCCTGTGCAGTTGGTATCAGCTTTGCCCAGCATGGGCTCCTCCATCAGCCCTGGTCCTCCTCGCAGAGGAAAGACCCTCAGTCCTCTCCAAACCAACAGACAGGACGTCCATCACACGGAGGTTTCTCCCTGAAGTCTCTGCAGCTCTCTGGACACCATGCTGTCTCAATCCGTCCACACTGAATATGAGAGGGGGAAAATGAAAATAAATGCTTTAGACAATAAGAAACATAAAGTTGACTGTTGAGTTGCTCAGTTTTTTTAGATTGTCAATACTATTACTGTATAACTAATATCTCAGGTTAAGAGGCATATTCAAATAAAGATTGGTCTTTAAATACATTTTGTCTTTTGAATTGTTTGTCTAAAGTCAAGGATCTATAACTGGTACTTAGTTTTAATGATACAGTCTGGTTATTATGCTGTTTGGAGGAGGCCTCACAGGTAAGAGCGCTAACTAGCTACCATCACATGTACCTTAGCTTGACTTAAATGTATTAAACGTATAGTTAAGTGATATCAAAATATAAATTACTAATGTCATGCAAACTGTTACGTCCCCAGCTCGCTTAGGGTAAAAGGGAAGCAACACGAAACCAGGTGTTCTTGGTAAGAGGTTGATTTTAATAATAAACTCAAAATAAAGATGATATAACAAAAACTACAGGCTCTTAAAACCAGCTGTCTGTTCAAAATGACGCTACACAAAACGAAGGCCACAGATTATCACAGTCATGGGCACTTACGGCTAAAATAGTGAGGCGCCTCGCACAAGTTCGACGCCGTCACAAATCACAGAATACACACATCCTAACTAACCACTATATCAGAACTAGCACAGAGCTACACAGAACATAAGGAGAGCACCGAGAGACGTCTGACACAGATTCAGACCTCTCCCGTCTAACTGAGATGCACACACTCTTGTAAGAGTCCCCGGAAGGTGTGGGCTGGGATTGGTGAGTCGGGCCGACCTGCTCCAATCCAGATCTTCGGTCACGCCTACCGGAGGAGGGACAGGAAACTGGCATCCAATGGCGTCCGGGCAACGGCGCATCTCATATACATATTACATACACAGCTGAAAACAATCCTAGACAGGTTAACGAGCAGACAGCAGCAGCAGCCGTGACACAAACATATTAATATTTGCTTGATTCCAGTGTTGAATTTAGCACAATTGCATACAAACGTTAAGGGGTTTTAAGATTCTGAAGTATTATGCTAAAAGCTCAATAACTTAGATTATTATTTATAGTTTTGCTGAATAGTTTCATGTCCGCTTACCTTAGAAACGTAAAATGCGACGGCAGCGTGCAGATGGGGAGCATGTTAGCTTAGCTTGGTAGCTTCAGCTAGCTCTGGAACTTCCAGCTCGGTGGCAGCAGGTCCCGCCTCGGCTCCGCCTCTTTACCCTTATTTGGAGCAGGCTGGAGAAGGCGGGAGTTGAACTCTGACGTCACTTTTGAGCCGTTAGTGGCCGACTCCGCCTACTAAGGGCTTCACGGCAACTCTGCAGAATCCTATGGGTGACGTCACGGACCCTACGTCCATTTATATATACAGTCTATGGCTCTGAAGCGAGAAGAGGTGTTTGAATGATGCTGCGATTTAGGCTCACGTAGCGCAAGATACTTAAAGGGTGGGTGGATTCCCTGACGTAGACGTCAAGATCACCAGCCAATCAGGATTGGCGTAATGAGATTGATGCTTCTGTTTGCATATGCGTTGAGGCGCATCCCATAGTGAGACATCGAACAGAGTGTTATGAATGAGAACTTACATTAAACTTTACCAAGAAGATATCTATGCTCATTTTGCTTACATTACCTTTCGCCTTGTTTAGAAGTAGTTGAAGTTTTATGCTAATAGAGGGGTTATTTTAGCCGGCTTCAAAGTCCCGTCCTCTGCGCAAATAGCGGTTCTCTTTCCCGATTGGCCGAGAGACGTTTGATGAATCATGATCCCTGGGCTGCAAAGTGTGTATCGTTGTGTCAATGGTATTAAGGGGGATCCCAGAGGTTGTTTTTTTTTAAATTACGTTTAACAGTTTGGTCGCATGAAATACTTTTGTACGCTGGTTATGCAAAAAAGAAAATTATTTCTCTCCTAGTTCAATACATATTGGGCTAAATCATTGTCTCTTTAGTCATGAACAAAACAGCAACATATTTCTAAGGTGAATAGGAGTGATGAGTGTATTATGTACCAAGAGTCATTCTACAATTTACAGAGTGTGTTAACATTACACGTTGAACCACAATTACTGAGTTTAGCCTTGACCTGCTTGAAGAATACAGAATAAAAATACCTACATGTTCAGCATTAACGTGAACTAAAAGTTTAATCAATGTAATCCAATTGCTTTCAAGATTCATTTAATGTGATTAATATTTTTGGGAAATTGACACATCACAGGGGAAAAAAAACACCTTTGAAACTAGACCTGGAAATGTTCCCAAAACAAACCATTTATTGCAACCAGATGTGTGCATCTTTGTTTTAGTCAGAAATTAGGTCATCATGATTCAGTAAAACAGCTTAGTTTAAACCATTTCACACAAAAGGCAAGTCAAACTTAAGAATTTGAGAACTTCAATTAAGTGGTTCAGATACATTATTTTATTAGCAACATACAATCTGAAATGCAAAGAGACAGGCTTGCACTAAGCTTATGAAACAATAAAACCCGAATTCAGATTGAAGAACCCAGTCAGGGAAATGGATCCATTCCTGTTGGGAGAACAAAGTTTAAAGTAGCCGTTCAGAATAAATGAATATTAAAATATGAAACCCTTACCTTCAGGAATTCACATCTGTGATGGTAAATGGCCCAATGACTGCTTTTTGCACCATTCCATGTTTCTCTGCAAACATGTATATTTTAGTACAAGTCAACAAATCAAGTGTAATACAGCAGAAGTTGTGTACATACCTGACGCAACACTCCTCTGCCTCCTTGACTTGCATTTCGATTCACAGCAGTCACAAAGATTGCTCTGGGCCAAGTTGTCCAGCAACTCCCAACTGAGTTCATGAAGATTGGATGAAAAGATAATTAAAATGCATCTCATACTCTTCTTATTATGTATGCTGCGTGTATTTTGTTGTGATGTTTTGTTTTTGTTTTGATGGCACCCTAGAAAGGGAGAAGCATTTATCTCATTGTACATGTATAATGACATTAAACTATTCTATTCCAAATAAAGTCTCTACAAAGTTTGAACAGTTATGAATGGGATCCATCTGTATCTTCAGTAGACTGGGCTAAAGCTGAATAAGTCATCTCATGTAAAACAAAGTAACCTACAATTCAAATTCTGATATATTGAAGTAATATTTTTACCCATGCCCTTTGACAAAGTGGCAGGCTTTCTTAGTGTTGTCAAGACCATTGGGATCCCAAGCCAAAAGTTTGCAGTGGATAAAGACCTGTTGAATAGAGGGAAAATATAGGAGTCATCAATTAATCTCAGTTTCCACAATCAAACCTTGCATCTGAACCAAAATGTACAATTTAGAAGGCCAATTTACCTCTTCTCCCATAGCAAACTTAAAGGTCTGAAGTGATAGGCGCATCTCCGATGACTTTTGCCTCGGTTCAAATTTTGATTGTGACGACACACTTTCCAAAAGACATCTGTTGGGTTAAAGAAAATTAATTAGCATATTACCAAAACACATTTTTTAAGTCAATGCTTATTGCCATTAGAGTACCCTTTATTGGAGATTATAGGGTACATGGTGCTTTCAGGGTACAGCTCTGGTGTGGTAGCTGCTACACATTCCTCAAGAAGCAGCAGCAAGGGCTGATGGGTCTTCTGCACCACACTAGCCATGATGGGGATGATGGAGCCCAGAGGAAAGCTTGTAGATTCAGCGGGGCCTGAGAAGTCGTCTAGGGCAGTCAACAGGAAAAGAGTCATTAAGTTACAAAAGTCAGGGAGAGCTGCCATTTGTAGAGAGTTTCACATGTTGTTTACCCACCATTCATAAGGCCAATGGTAAACTGCAGATCTCCTAGACCGTAGGTTTTAAACACCGGGTCATAGATCTGCTGGCTGGAATACCAGTCTTTGGGTCTGCACAAAATAAAGCAGAATGTGTACAGAAAATGCTGCCATGTGAAACTGAAAACGTATTTGCGCGAGCCTGTGTACTCACATTTACTTAAAGCTCATTATTAAATGTTACTCCTATGGTAACATCAATGTTTATCTATACAGTCAAATATCACAAATGTTACATTTGTCTCAGTGGACTTCACAGTTTGTACAGAATATCAGTATGACAATACAAAGTCATAAAAGACAGTCGAAAATAAGTAGACATTAACTACTTCCTCCAAAATGCTAAAAACAAGAGTCCTGATACTTAAATGTGTGATGTCCATTTAAAACTATGGGAGCAACTCAATGGACAATGAATTGGGAAAAATGACAACACAGAGTGCACATTGGGGAATGTTCTCAGTAAATGGGTAGATTTTTTGTTGAGAATACTGAACCCATTCATTGTCTATGTAGCAGCTTCAGGCTTTATACCTGATGATAACAAGTTTGTGACGGACTTCTATGGTGGATGGCTTTGAGGGAGAAGCTTATTATCAAATTGAACTTTCCCAGGCCATGGAAATGCCACATTGGAATAGTTAGTGAAGGGTCACCCTTTAGCACCTTGTGTTGTAGTTGGTATGAACACTAACCTCTCATATGCACAGACAACTGGGTGAGTGAAGGCCAAATTGTAAGAATCATCAGAAGCAACGTAGGTCAGATCATTGCTGTACAGCAGCACATCCCCGGTGACCTGTTAGAGAGACAAAGATCCCCCTGAGAGAGCTGTAGGAAATATAGCAGACTCACAGCTTGCAGGTTTAAAATATATATACACACATACCAGTATCCTAAAGTTACAGTCAGTGAGATCCACATAGAAGTAGGCCTCTCCTGCTGAGAAGCTGGTTGGGAAACAGCTACCTAGACGGAGAAGCGACGTGTCGGCCTGGGGTCGGCTTTCTGTCCACATCAGCGTCACAAAATCTGGCCCACAGTCCACTTTCATGTCTGCAACACAAATAAATTAGCTTTAGACTCAACTATTTGAGTCAAGGATAATAACATGACTTTAATTGTTTCCAGTCTTACCTGCATATACCGCCATGGCAGCTGCCAAGCTCAGAAGCAGTGCACCTTGACAAAATGAACCCATCATGACTGCATGCTTGCTACTGACACAGTGCATGTTCTTATACCTTGTTCCTGAGAGGCATCAATCAACATGACGTCTTTCACCTGGTGCCTGTCAGCAGGCCCAGCTGCAGCAGCCAGCACACTGATTACAGCATGGGGAGGATCCAATCACATTAGTCCTTACACCCAATTCATTTTCATCAGCAGCACAAAATTACCATTTGTTAAACAATTTATTATCCTGTCTGACTACCTTCAATTCTTATTTAAAACACTTTAAGGATGATAGTGCATTGGTTGTCTTCCTGAGGTTTTGATTTAGTTTTGCTGTTATATATATTAACATTAATATATGTATACGTTGGGATTCTTTGTTCAACGTCAAGTCATGCAAGAAAAAGTTTTCTTTGAGAATTAAAAGGAGTCATTTCTAAACAAATCATTTGGGGGAAGGTATTATTCCTTTATCAGATGTCCTGTATTCAAATGAGATATTTTTATATCTGAGATGTTTCAGTTCATTTAAGTTTTATTCAGTGAGAAAATATCCACACACATCTGAATATTAGAGTTGGTGCTATGATGTAATCTTTTAACTGCATAAACACGTGCCATGCAGGCCATCCCTATTGATTTTATATTCATGGCCAGAAAGTAAACTATGCTACATTCAACTGCAGCCGGCATTAGTGCCCAGAAAATAAATTCATATCAGAATTATCTTTTCAAATGAAGCTCAACATAAACAATTGCCATAGTTGTAATACCAGACAGATCACTAATAGCTTTTGAATCTGGTGGTGTATGTAATGTCAGAATTTATATCATGTGCAGAGCTCAATGTAAAATGGAAAGTGAAAGAAAAATTCAGGGCTATACTCCAACTCATATGGCCATTACAATTTGTCTGAGGACTTAAAGGTTACATTATAATTGACAGAACTTGACAGTATCTTTCAATGACAAAAGTCACACATAATTAGTAAAATTCTACTGATAGGACAGATGGACACAGTTGAAGAGTTAACAACAGTTTTATTTATACAGACAACTTTAATCTGCATATGGATGTCGTCCACCACTGGGCCCTCTGTTCAGTCTCCCCAATCCTAGACTGGACTTCCTGTTGAGAAAACGTTTAGCAACGTTAGTCTTATGGCAAGTTTTGAACAAAACTTCAAGACAAATACCATAAATAAATACTCATTAATCTTGGTCAGCAATGGAAACATCTGATGCATTGTGGGTATTTTGTTGCGATGGATCCATTATGATCAGGGGTCCTAACACAGAAGTGTGCCGGAAGCCGTTGGATTCTGAGGTGGAAAACAAAATATATAACTTCAAATTGAAAAAGACTACACTAGATCAAAAAGCATACAAGTTGGCATAAGAGCGATACCCCATTCGTCTCCTCTCTTTGAGCGGGTGTTGCAGGTCCTAGAACAGCAGTCACAAATGGAGCTCTGCATGGGGTCATCCAGGAGTTCCCATCTAAGGAAGCAACAACAGTCAAGGCTCAAATACATCAGCATGGCTTTAAAAAAATAAAATAAATATCAAGTTAATAACATTTGCTAAAAAGGACCAAAAGATACATTTCCATCTACAGTGCAGAAAAAAAGTGAACAGAAAAGCTCAGGGCTTTTTTTAAATATAGGCCCATCTCATTAGGTTGGCTAATCATTTGAGTGCCACTCCTTTTAAAAAATATGATATTGTTATTCTTAAATATTTTACAATTATCATTTGTCACAATTGTTGTCTATACTTTGTTAGTTAGAGATCATTTGTTATAGATATATAAAAAGCACAATACTGATCAAAGTACATGCATTAAACTACTTCAAGTTGGATATGTTATACTAAAATAAGCTAGCCGCCTTGGCTAATAGTGCATACTTGTTGCACATGGCATCAGTTGCATTCATTCTATTAAACTTCTGGCAAGAACATGTTCACATACTTCCAACATATCAAACTCTTCCCTTACCTCTCATTTTCCTTTACATAGTGGCAAGCTTTCTTGCTTTCACTTAGAACTTCAGGATCCCATGCGAGCAGTTTGCAGTGAATGTACACCTGAGGAGCAGATGAAACATACATTTTAGCTAGGAACCAAATATTCTTTAGAGCACTTTCCATTTACACCCTCACCTCCTCGCCAAGACCAAACTTGAAGGACTGCAGGTAGAGGGTGATTGCAGAGGACTGGTACCGCTGGAGAAACATGGAGTTTCCCTTCTCACTGTCCAAGAGACACCTGAAGACATTCAGATAAGCGATAAGGACTAAACTCCAGAAAACAATTAAATAAATCAGAGACTGGATCTCACCCCTTATTTGTAATGATGGGGTACACATTGCTGTTAGCCTGCAGCTCAGACGTAGTGGCTGCCACACATTCCTCCATGAGCAGCAGCAATGGCTGATGGGACTCCTGCGCCACTGTTGCCCATATTGGCATGAAGGAGCCCAGGGGGATGACATTTGTCTCCGCTACCGCTGTTAATCTTTCTGTAACGGGAAAAGTAAAAACTGCTTAGTGTGCTTTTTTAGAGTGTTTTGCCTTTGGGAGCATGAGCCCTCACCATTTAGGAGCAGCATGTGGAACTTCAGACCTCCCCGGCCTTCGGCAACACCTGACCCCGCGTTCAGGAAAGGAGGAATCCACCCCTTAGGTCTGAAATATATTAACAACATTTATCCCATATATCAGCTTTAAACTTGAATTTAAATAAGAACGAAACTCCTACCTTGGATAAACACACTCGATGGGATACACATAAGATGCAGGACTCGACCTTGGTTGGGGCCTGAAAGTCAACTCATTTTTGTAGAGGAGCTTTTTCCCTTTCATCTGAAGAATTTAAAAAAAGCTCATTATGACATTAATAAGGCTGAGAGATATTCTGGTGAAACATGGCAGTTACATTACCAGTCTTTTAAAATTGCAGTCATCTAGTGTGTAGTTAAACTCAGCGTTCCCCTCTCCGCTGGGCAGAACATTAAACCGGGATGCCATGCAGTTTCCGAGGAAGTGACGAGCTGCAAATGGCACCAGCATCGGATGGATCCTCCATGTGATGCTTATGGAGTCTTTTTCACAGTTTACTTTGATTTCTGCAAACAAATCATTATTATATATTTCCCCATACATTCCCCAACAAACGCAGATGTTTACATGCATGTGCTAAGAATACCTGCATTAGCAACAGTTGTTGCAAAAAGAGCCACGACTATCACACCTAGGTAGAGTTGAGTCCCCATGACTGAATGATCTAGATCACACAGGAAGTGACACCATTTGTAGACTAGCTGCCAAATTAGCTGAACGAGCAACACCTGTGTGAGAGCAGGGCAGCACTTGGTCCTCTGTCTACTTATACTGGGGTGTAATTTCACATACTTGCAATTTCATTGTAGAGTTTTCATTTGGATAATATCTAGAACACTTATTCAAGTACATTTTTATTTATCTGCCTAATTGCTTCTTTTTTTTAACATTAGTTTGTACCCAGGGGCGGACTGGCTATCGGGACGTTCGGGACGAATCCCGATGGGCCGGTACTGAAGTGGGCCGGTCGGACGATGTGGGCCGGCCGGTAACCGGCAGGGCTCGACATTAAATGGCCCGCTGGCCTGGAAGCACTATTTAGACACCCCGGGCCAGCATAACGTACTTTCCACTTGCCCGCTCGGGCCACTAAAAATATTGCTTTAAAAAAATTGTCCTGTGGTATTGGTATTTTGACTAGCAATTTAGTTAAATTGTTTCGTTTATCAACGCTACAACATAGCGTTCCGTGAGTCGGTTGTCGTTGTTGTTGGGTGAAAAGCAAACAGCTGTTTGCTGCGGAGCTCAGCAGGAGTAGGCTCCGGTGAGCGTGAGCGCGATCCTTCACTACAGACTATCGCCCCACCTAACCATTCGCCAAATGTTTTTAATACCAGCGGTAAACAATCTTCAAATAAAAGAAAGTCACCGGAGGAGTTAAAGGAGAGTGACAGGGAGTATGAGAAGAAGAGGGAGAGAAAGTTTCAGCCAGCTTGATCGATGGAGTTGGCTGCAGTGACGCGTCCTAAAACCCTTTTATAATCTATCGATTAGATTTATGATTCGAAAATTATAAAAGTAGGTTAGACATGTGGAGATTATCCGGCTGAACAAAACGTGCATTTATCAAACAGGTTTGTTTTCCACAGACCTTATTTCCAGCTATTTTCCAAAACCCTTGTCGAGGGAACCAGCAGCTTACTTCCTGGTTTTAGGACGCGTCACTGGCTGCACCTCTCAATATGATGCCAATATAAACAAGGTCTTCTGTCGGCTCTGTACATCAATGCCGACCTATGCTGACAAGTAAGTGAAGAGTAGACAATATAAAGGTATTGGCGAAATGTCCCAGCAGTTTAGGATAATGAAGGTTCAGGTTCTAATCAAATCAATTACATAGCCTGACAGGAAGGCAGAAAGTGCATTATACAAATAATAATAATAGCAGACATTTTTTAACAATGACCACAATATCATTATTTTAATAAACCAAATATGAACAATTGAGGAAAATAAGGAAGAACTGATGATTAAAATGTTGTAGTACAAGTAGTAATGTAGTCAGTGCATACATTACTATTGCAACAAATGTGTTAATTTTCTTCATTATTAGTCGATTTTTTTTTTTGGACGAACGCTCCGGGCCAGTGGTTACAATAGGTGGGGCCAGTGATAATACAAGTCCACCGGCCCGGAGGTAGACATTAATTACCCTTAATGTCTACCGCTAGTAAATTGTCTACCCCCCCCCGTCGACAATTTACTAGCGGTATTTACTTGCGGTACCGCGGTGGGCCGGCGTTACCGAAGTGGGCCGGTCGAGAGTCCCGGGCTGATTTGTAGTCCCAGTCCGCCCCTGTTTGTACCCCTTCTTGAGGCTGAATGGGAGCATATCAGTGCAGGCCAGTTACAAAATCTTTTGGAAAGTCTTCCAAGAGAATTAGACACTTCTGAGAGCCTATTTTGTTGTTGTTGTTGTTGTTGTTTTTAGTCAGTTTATTGAACATGTCAGAAACAAAAACATACAACAATAATATATATATATATATTCTCTTTTTTTCCTTTTTTTTCTCTCACTCAAATTAATAATTATAACAAAGTACAACAAAATAAATAATAACAACAACAACAACAAAATCTCAGATTCTCAGAATTAATGCCCATGATTTTGAAATGACATGTTCAAAACAAGGTGACGAATGCCCTATAACTCTGACAATATAGTGAACCAGTATGTAAATCGATTTAATTTTATTTGACCTATTTATTGTTTTTTAAATTTACTTTATGGTTTATGAGCTGAGCTGTGTGATTTTTTTATTTCATCTATTAATTTATTTTCTGAGGTTTTACAGTCCTTTACAAATAAAGCTGTATTGTATGATTTATTTATTTTTTACTCAATTAATATTTTTACATTTGGGTTTACAATGAGGTTTTTTTGCCCACAATGTATTAGTTGTACATTCATTTCACCCACACCTTTGCACATAGTTATGCATCTAGCTGAATTCTGCAATGACAAGACACACAGTTAGGTATGGCAACTTAAAGTGTATATAAAGTTAGCTTCTCATTAACCATGCTAATAGGTGCATTTATACTGTTAGCCCTAGTCTATGTGTTAGCCACCAAAGTGTTTGTAAACTAACTTAAACAATTGTTTGATTTGGCTGTCTACTGGCAAACATTAGGGTAAGAAACCGACTCAAAACTATAGGTTACTTACGTAACCCCAGTTCTCAGAGTAACATGAAGTGAGATGTCTCACTATGGGATGCGCCTCAACGCGTATGCAAACAGAAGCATCAATCTCATTACGCCAATCCTGATTGGCTGGTGATCTTGACGTCTACGTCAGGGAATCCACCCA